GCTATTAGGTGGAATGTCTCGGTTATCTTCAGTTCTGGTTTGAGTCAAAAGTGTTTTTGCTTGATCAGTCTTCACTGGGGTTGGTTGGTTGGTAAAAATGCCTTCCCTCAGTTGATTTGGTATTTGGTTTCACCGATACAGCTTCAACAAGGCTCCAATCAGCTTCGGATGGCTCGGTTGGATCGTCTATGGGCATTGAGATCACCTTGTGGTGGTTTGCTAGATCGATGACCAGATCATCTAAATATTTTATTATTTTTTACGTATTATGCAGAGTTGAATCTATCTAGTGTTACAATCCTACTTGGTAAGATCTACGTTAGCATGACACATAGAATAATTATAACTTTTTACAGATATTATATGTGTCATTATTAGTTTAGATTGTAACATATGTTAATATAATAATTTAAGTTTTTAAATTTTAGTTATTTATATTTAAATATTAAAAAATTAAATATAAAACAAAATAATTTTTGGTTCAAAAAAAGAAACTAATAAAATAAAATAAAAAGTAAAATACAGAAATAAATAGAAACTACAAATTGAAAAATGTAAATTATTGTCTTATAACCTCTTATTTATTTAAGAGGGTTATTTATGATTAATATAGATTAATTTTAAATTTTCTTACTTACAAATTATAAAACATAATTTCTGAATAACTAATAAGAGTTTTAATTGAAATCTAACTATATGAGTCATAATTAGACTGATTCTTATTCAATATAGAATCTAAATCTTATTTTCTTTACCTGGGTATACTAAAGTTATAGAATAGCTAGTATCTTGTTTTAAATATTAAAAATATAATTTGGTTTTCCATATTTTCAATTTGATAGAAAAGGCTATAAAATTGAAAGAATGTCATTATGTATCATACTATCATGTGGTTAGTTTGAGTTGCCAATTTAGAACTTTCTTCTCAATAGTCAGCATCAGCTATAGTTATTGCTTTTTGAATTTTGGATCGAAACAAGCAATCAATTCATTGAGTAAGGTTCCAACACTTGCATGGTCTGAGTTTCATTTAATTTTTTTAGCTGAACATTTCCCCTTATTATTACCAAATTACAATTTCACTATCACGTGTGGTGATCAACAATCCTGACCGAGACTCCACGTATCCACCATTAAATGTATTTGATAACTTCTCTTTCTTAGAAAGGATAGAAAGAATCACGAGAACTATCATATATATACAACAGAAATTCTATAAATTAATATTTGATAAATTAATAAACTCAATTAATTATTTGGTTTTAAATTTAAATTTTGGTTAAATTAATTTCTTTATAAATTAATAATTTGCTAAATTAATAAAATTTTAAAGTTCCAACATTATTAATATATAGAATTTTTACTGTAGCATCAGCCATCATCAGATGTTAACGTACATTAAATTATTTTCTCTGTGTATATCCCCACAAAAACAAACTTAAAAATATTAATCTCTCAAATAGGTCTTAACCCGATTTCGTGGAGATATAGAAAGAAGGCATATATAGGTCGGGAGACATCTCATGCTATAGATAATTCCCATAAAAAAATAGATCGTTGACCCAAGGAAATTTGGTTAAATTATTTGATGCTACATAGACTGCTCTTACAAGAAAACTAAACCGACAATTTTTCCAGACTAGGATGGCATTGCTTCCAAGAATATATTGAATGATATTAATGGGAGCAAAAGTCTACAAGAAAATCTTTCCTTTGCACGTTGAAGTAGAAGCATTCATTTGGATCATGCACTGTATAATCGAATATCAGAAGACAACATCTTTTGTTACAGACTATTTCGAGTTGGTGACGATGATGTTTATACCGCATGGAGGAATTCAACATGTGTAAGGAAGGTTTTAGCTTTCTCTATTTCATACATTCAACGCGGCGGACTGCAAGATATTGTTTATGTTATAAAACAGTTGTAGGTATCTATTCTTTTGTCCAAAAAAAAGAGACAGCCTCTCAAAAATAAATCTAACACAAAGAGAAAGAATTCGAAAATGAGTGGAAAAACACAAAGATATAGTCATGTGTTTCATTGTGTTGCGTGAATACCAAATAAGGGATATACTACGCCTTGTTATACAAAGACACCTAAATTGTATGGTATTGATCAAATGGATAAAACGATCTGTATTGAAGATCCATCTAGGGTAAGATAAGTGACAAAAGCGGAGGTTTGGGGATTGCTAGCGTGATCCTTTGGATTGGGGAAGGATTCTTAGGAATTTATTTTGTAGACTAATTCTTGAGAATTTTCGAGAGATCTTTCACAATCTCTAGATCATATATCCTACAGGCTACAACCCTCTAGATAATCCTTACAACCAAACTAAGAGGAAATAAGGGGGAAAAGAATTATGTGTAAGACAAAGATCACCCTCGTCCTTATGATTAAGTTGATACCTTTAACTATTACCATTAACTATTACTATTTGTGTTCCGTATTTTCTAATTTTTTGCTCTCTGTCCAGTTCCCAATTCTTGCTTAATCCCAACTCGTACTTATGATTAAGTCGTTTTGGATGTTCTCCTTGATGAGTCACAAGCTTGAAATTATACATTTTTAATAAGTAAAATATTCATGCTAATTAATTAGAGGCTTTAAAACATCTCTATTGAGAATATTTCACTGGATTTCTCATATTAAAGAAAGAATGGGGAATGAGAATGGATTATCATTTGTAAACCATATGAGAGACTAATGTAACATATATCTTTTCATGAATGTTTTTTAGAAAACTTAAAATTGCAAAGTTAAAGTATATTTTAAATGCAGTATTAATATTATATTGATGTATCTCACTAATGGAGGTGTTCTTAGATCCTTTATATCATCCGTTTAATTTTTATATCAAGTAAAACTTGAATTAGACATGTATGTGATGTTTTACATTCCAAACGAATAATTGAGCTACCATGGCTTATTGTGTGCATGTATTGTTCTTGGTATCACAAGTCTCATGTGTTAGACAATTTGTTTGTACAATCTTATGAATTTCACTCTTAAGTCAAATGCAAGTAGCAGGAAAGTAACTAACATGTCCACACTCAATGACCTTTATTAATATTATTAACTAATTCTCAACTCATTTACTGAATATCAAGCCTTACGCTTAAATGACTTGAATAGATAATTTCATTAAAAAAATTTTCCATTAGAATAGCTGTGATTAATATATGTTGGGCTTTTCAAGCCCATGTCTAACTTTCTATTAGTATGATATTATCTGCTTTGAGTCTAAATGGCTAACCCCGCATGGATTTGTTTTGGATTCTTATCCACAATGCCCTATACTAAACTATTGGACATCTTGCTTATATTCTAGACCATATTGCTCTAAATTTCAGATATGAGGTTTGGATTGATATCCCAATAATTCTCCCCTTAAGCCAAGGATCACACAAACCCGTGGCCTCCCAACCTCCTGCGAAACTTGGCACCCATCTTGTATCACCGTACGCACCAACGAAACTCTTCTCCTAACCTTTTCGCAACTGTTAAAAAGTGTTGGGATATCAATCCAAGTCTCACATCCGAAGTAAAGACCAACATGGTCTAGTACATAAAGATATCCAATAGTTTAGTATGAGGCCTTTTGGAAAGGAATTCAAAAACAAATACGTGCGGGCTTTTCTACTTGGACTCAAAGCAGACAATATCATACTAATAGAGAGTTGGACAAGGACTTGAAAATCTAACAATTGGTATCAGAGTCAGGTTCTGGAAAAGGTAGACTAGAGAAGTGGGTGTGGACTGTGTGTTCGGTGTGGGAGGGAGAGCCCTCAAGGTAACCTTGCGATTGGGGTGCTGGTGCCTTGTATCGAAAGTCTTCATATTGGGTTTTTCAAGCCCAGTCCAACTCCTTATTAGTATGATATTGTCCGTTTTGGCCTAAATGGCAAAGCCCGCACGAATTTGTTTTTGGATTCCTTCTCAAAAGGTCTCATACTAAACTATTGGACATCTTGCTTATATACTAGACCATATTGGTCTAAACTTTGGATGTGGGACTTGGATTGATATCCCAACAATCCTCTCCTCTAGCTAAGGACCACTCAAACCCGAATCCAAAAATAAATCTGTGCGGGCTTTGTCATTTGGGCCCAAAGCAGACAATATCATACTAATAGGGAGTTGGACATGAGCTTGAAAAGCCCAATCGGAAGACTTTTGATACAAAGCACCAGCACCCTAATCGCAAGGTTACTTTGAGGGCTCTCCCTCCCACACCGAACACACAGTCCACACCCATTTGTCCAGATCCATTTTTTCCAGAACCTGGTTCTGATACCAATTGTTGAACTTTTCAAATCCATGTCCAATTCTCTATTAGTATGATATTGTCCACTTTGGATTCAAATGACAAAGCATGCACGGATTTGTTTTTAAATTTCTTCCAAAAAATTTTATACTAAACTATTAAACATTTTACTTATATATTTGAGTACATTAGTTTAAATTTTAGATGTGAAACTTGGATTGATATCCCAACAATATAGCCGTGCAATATTTTGCGTCTGCCCTTATTAACTACTACGTACGCTCCTATATGACTTAATATTTTGCGTCTGTCCTTATTAACTACTACGTATCGCTCCTATATGACTTACTGATTTTAAGTCCATATGATTTGTCTATATCCTTCTGCGTAAAATCTGTCGGTTGAGATTGTAAAGGACGATTCATAAACAATAGTCCAAGTCTCCAACTCTCCAATAATGAATATTATTCTCGAAATAATCCAATAATATTTTTTAATATGTCTATGACTATATACGTGTGAATGCGCTGTGTTTGAGACGTTTTATAGAAACATCTAAAAGACTAGTGGAGAGTTGCCATTTAAGGAGTTTCAAAATTATTTACAATGATTCCAACAACCAACCATAAATGGGCCCTATGCAATCGATACTTATCTTCTTCTTACTATTTTTATTGTCATAAATTATTAAATTTCTTAACTTTTCTTTTGAGTTATTTTTATTGGACTAGGGATTAGGTTTTTTTTTACTCTTCTCATTCCCTCCTCCTCGTTTTCTTTAAATAGAGGCATACATGGTGACATTTTTATTCATCACACGTTCTAAAACAAAGAGTTGAACAGTTGAAGAAAATGGCTTCGAGGGCTTTAATTCTGTTGGGTCTCTTTGCACTTCTTTTCGTCGTCTCAGAAAGGGCAGCGGCATCCGAAAGGCAGTCGGGTATGTAACATTATTTTTTATGTTTCTGTCTACTTCTTCCATTGGGTGATAGATTCATTCAACTATTTAGTTTGTTATAAGGCTGGAGACTTACGAAAATCAAAATACACTTAAGTATGATGTTGAATTCTTATTATATGTATCGGGATCATCTCAAACATTTAGAGCAAAAATGTTTAGAACGTATATCTTATGTTGTAAATGTTTTGAAACAAACTAGCTAGAGATGCAAACTTATATCTCTTAATATTTTTTGCAAATAGAAAAATAGTTCTAAATTCTGGGTGAGGAATGCAAATTTGAACGTGCTAATAATATCTTTGAAATGTATTATTTTTGACAGCTACAGCGAAGTCAGAAAGTGAGGAAAATGTGAAACCCGATGGATATGGTGGTGGCTACAACGGAGGAGGAGGTTACAACGGAGGAGGACACCACGGAGGAGGAGGATACAATGGAGGAGGACACAACGGAGGAGGATACAACGGAGGAGGAGGTTACAACGGAGGAGGACACCGCGGAGGAGGATACAACGGAGGAGGCCGTGGAGGAGGTTATTGCCGTCACGGTTGCTGCTACAGAGGTTACCGTGGCTGCTCAAGGTGTTGTTCTTATGCCGGAGAAGCTGTTCAGACTCAACCCGGTCACTAAAACTATATAATGCATGGTTGGATCTATATATACACTTATATGTGTATGTGTAAGTGCCCCAAGTGTTCTTAAGGGGCATGATGGATTAAGAAATGAAAAGTATGGGAATAAAGTTTCATATCGTAATGGCCTGTGTTGTAATCGCTTCGTTGTTTCCATAATAAGATCGTCTTTAGTTTATTATGTTATTCTCTTTCGGTTTTGCGACATTTGCTTAACAGTGTTATTTCATTATTCCACTCTTAAGGTTGGAGAAAATAAAAAACTAGTTATAAATAGGCTGCCAAGGAATTTATATTTGTGGAAAGAAAATATAAACAGACACGTAACACTTCACTAACTAGTGATCTTGAGTAAGAAGAATATGTAACAGATTCATTATTATATCAATATATAAGAGAAAGGCCATCTTCATTTGATAATTGCTAGTGAATGCGACCGAAGCTGCGACCAAATGTTACTTGTTTATGTTGTGAATCAAACCGAATAAAGCAATAATAAAAGAAAGAAAATTGCAATTAAGGTATAAATATCCGTTTAGGGTTTTTTTTTATTAAATATGTGAATAATCAATTACAATCCTTAAAGCTTGTATTTATATCCTAAAAACACGACTTTCAAATTCACTCCATAAAGAAAATCACTACAAGAAAGATTGGCTTTTACGTCGGCAGATATCGACGTAAAATCGACGTAAAAGAGCATTTACGTCGAATTAACGACGAATTAAAAATCGTCGTAAAACGATCGTCGTAAAACCGAAATTGTCGTAAAATTGTCGTAAAATTACCAACTCCGGAAAATCGTCGTAAAATCGTCGGGAACTATTCGTCGAAAATGCGTCGTAAATTTTCCAACGGATGTACAACGAAAAAATTCCATCATAAAAACGACGTAAAATCGATGTAAAATTACATCGATTTTACAACGTTTAGGAGACGAACAATTTCAATTAAGGGAAACTAAATTTTTAATTGTCGATGTTAAATCGACGTAAACTTATTCGTCGTAAATTCGTCGTTAAATATTCGACGTTAAATCGACATAAATTTACGACGAATTTACGTCGATTTATAAATTAATTATTTAATTCGATTTTAATTTAATTAATGAATTTTTAAAATAATCAAAAAATTAAAAATAGAAAAAATTTGAATTTAAATTTCAATTTAAATTCAAAAATAATTTATAAATAAAAAAAAAATTATACAAATTGTTTTTTACAAAAAAACCTAATCTATACAATGATGTTGTAATCGTCGAGGTTGAGATCGACGTCACGAGGAGGCTCTCCGTCTTGGCCGCCCGTCGCTGCTAGGCCGACTTTTCCCGTCTGCACTACCGGAGCCGAAGTCTGACCGCCTGTCGCTGCTGAGACCGGAGCCGAAGACTGACCGCCCTGCGTCTGGTGGTCCGATGGTCCAGTACCGGAACTACCACCGGTCTCAAAAACCCTCCGTGCTCGCTGTTGCCTCGCTCGGATTGCAGTGGTCAACTGCGGAACCGCTTCCGCAATGATGTCGAAGAGATCATGTATCTCGGTGAGCTCCTGCTTCTGGGCCACTTGCTCATGCCTGAGACTGGTGATCTCAGCATTGGCCGTAGCAAGCTCCTGACGAAGCTGCGGATCCTGCGAGCGGAATCCGGAAGCCGTGGCGGCAGGACAGTCTCTAATAGAGCCCATCCCTAAGGTTCGACCCTTCTTCTTCGGAGCAACTTACAAATGGAAAATAAAAACGTTAATTATTTATTAAGTAATTATAAATATAATAAATTTTTAAAAAATTGAAATAGATATCATACCTCTTCGAAAATCTGGTCTTGCTCAGCGACGGTCAACGGTACTTGGATAGTACCGTCAGGTGTGGCCTGGGTCTCCCGCTCGGCGATCCGCTGCATAGCGGCATTGTAGATCTCCTCGAGCGTCGACAAAGCTCCCGTCCTTCTTCCGGTGAGTGGTCTCGAAGAGCTTCGTCATTGGAGGTAGTTCTCTTCCGTTCTCCTCGGCCTACCAATTAATAAACATTATTAGTCAAAAATATTTAATTAATTCTAGCAATAAATAAAATTAAAATAATAATGAAATAATTTATAGTTAATTACTTACCATCATGAGACGTCTTCCTGCAAAAGATATTTGGCCAGAAGTGTGCGGGGTCACTAACTTCTCACCAGTCACCGGATCGACCCGGTTTCGGACGGCCGAACACTTAGCAGCGGTGGTTTGAGCATGCGGGTCCACCCAATACGCCTTCAACCCGTTCCAACACCAAGTGGACATGGAGCTCGGCTTTGCGTCGTCGCCGTTGGTCTCCCATTTCCGCTTCCAATCGGAAACGGTGTTGACTAGGCGTTTCTTCGCCTTTTCCTCGAAAGCTTCGCGGACCGTCTCATTGATCCCGATGTCCCAGTTCCACCGTTGCTGCAAAAGAAAACAAAAAATTAGATTGACAATATAAAAGTAAGATTAATTAAATTTAAAACAATTTAAAATGATATAAATAAGATTTTAAAAATATTACGTACCGCGAAGCACTTGTACCAGGTGTCGCACGTCTCTTGCGACACCTTGCTCCAATTGACGTGCGGCTCCACGAAATGACTCTTAATTGTGTCGGAAACGCTCCGTCCGACACAATTATCCAAAGTAAACCTATGAAACCAAAAAAAAAATTATTACATTAATATTTAAGTAAATTAAAGCGTTAATTTAAAAACTATAAAAAACAAAAAATTTACTTACCAATAAAAGCCTGGTTCCGCTTTTCCGGGAACCAGACGTCGTAAAGCCCCCCGTCCCGGTAAGGCTAGTAAATCCTCAACCGTAAACTGGGCATACGGATGAGGAGGGACGGGTACCGGTTCGGCAGCCGGGGCGGGTACCGGTTCGACAGCCGGCGGTGGAGGTGGTGGTGGAGGCGGTGGTGGAGACGGCTCCGCGGTATTCGGAACCTGGGAGGCTCCGGAAGATGAAGGGACATCGGTCTCGGTGTTTCCCGAGGCAGACGCCCGGGAAGAATGTCCGTCCGTCATGAAATTGATGTAATGCGTCCTCCGTCGAGTCATCGTCTGCAAAACCGAAAAAAAATTATTTTTCAAATTAATTACAATTAATTTTTAATTACGATCCTAAATCTAACAAATTCTGAGCCTAAACTAATTCCCGACCTAAACCGTTTGAATTTCTAAACTATTTAAAATTATTATAATTTTAAGTAATTAAAAAAAATTATTTACCTTTTTTTTTCGTCAAAAGGAGGAGGTGGGAAGGAGGAAGCAGAGAGAGAGGAAGGAGAGATAAGCGACGAAATGAGGAAGAGGTGAGGTCCTATATATAGAATTTATATTCGTCGTAAATTCGACGTAAATATTATGACGAATTTACGACGAATCCGTCGTATATTCGTCGCAAAGATCCCACCGTACAACAAAGCGAGTAAGACAAACACACGTGGCTGTATCTGGGCTTTGCGACAAGTTTACGACGATCCGTGCTATTCGCGTAAAATCGTCGTAATGTTACGACGATTTTACGACGACTCGTATAAATCAAAAAAATTAAGACGGCTGTGTATCCACTAATCGTCGTAAATTCGTCGTAACATTACGACGAATTTACGACGAACTATACGAAAACTGATGAAATTCAAAAATTGAAACATCCATAAGGACATACAAGCATGTCTATTCATGATAAATGTGGTCTGTATAACTTTCTAGCATGTTTACATAACTTAATGAAGAATTTAGTAAGATGTAAGATAAATCCATACATCTTGTGTAAATGTATATAACATCTTAAGATTACTTGATAAACACATATATGTCAAATTTTGAATTTTTTTTTTTTTGTTTAGAAAGTTGTTTTACCTTATGAGATGGTAAGCCATTTCATTCTCCTCATCAAAATCCCCTCTGAACCCCATAAAAGATTGATTATAAGATTTAGGGGTTACATTTCGTCGTATTTTTGATGGTATATTACGACGAATTTACGACGATCACTCCCATTCGTCGTAAATTCGTCGTAATAAAAACCACATTTCTACAAGTTCCTGAACCTTATACTACATACTCTTATATAATACATCAGTTTACTTAGGAAAATGAACCCAAAAACCATTCTGTAAGTTGGAAAAGCTAAACCCTATAGGGTTTAGGGTTTGCATATTACGACGAATTTACGACGATTTCTAAATAATCGTCGTAAATTCGTCGTAATAGTCAACATATGTCCAAGTCAACACTTAAACAAATTTTCATCAACATTTAATTAGTCTTCATTAATTGGCTTTAATTTTTCAAAAATTTAAATTTGACAAATGTTACATTGAAACGTTCAAAGCATGCAATTAAATGTCAAAATATTTAATTAGTCTTCATCAACATTTTCCTCGGTGTCGTCATCATCATTGTCATCATCATCACTGCTTGTTTGAAATCAGCACCTTCTTCAGTTTCGTCCCCATGTAGATCTTCAACTTGTCGATTACGTGGATCAATTAAAAGAACATTTTCTTCAATATCCGGTTCTGTAATGTCGACACAATCATCTTGTTGCATTGGCGGGAGATCTACACCATCAATTATACCCCTTGGAGCAACTTTGACAACCGCCAGCCATGAAATTCCCGTATTCCGAACTCGAGGATATGGAACAAAGGTGACTTGTTCTGCTTGAGATGCAAGTATAAATGGCTCGAACTTATTGTATCGCCGAGATGCGTTTACATCTACCACTCCAAATGTGTTAATTCGCACTCCACGACCTACCGTAGGATCAAACCAACCACATTTGAATAGAACAGTTTTCATTCTGACTAATCCGGGGTATTCCACTTCAATTATCTCTTTGATGATCCCATAAAAGTCTACTTCACCTCGTACACAAACTCCATAGTTTGTAGTTGCCCGTTGAGTGCCATGACTATAAGTATGAAAAACATAGCCACGTGTGAAATACATAGCTGCAGTAGTTATCTTCGAAATAGGACCTAAGAGCAACTCATGAAACCATACTGCATATGTCATGTCATCATGCTCGACTTGACCTTTTAACCACAATGCATAATGTTGGTCTTTTCGCTTGTTAATTTCATCTTCTGAAACACCGTCAATGCATTCTCGGACTTGACTGACGAAAGTGCTGAAATTTTGAAACATTGTTAAGGACATTTCGTATGT